GAGAGAGAGAGAGAGAGAGAGAGAGCAAAGGTAAATTAAAACTTAGGTGCTGTTACTGCAAAGTTAATGCCTGATTCTTCTATTGTATACTGTATAATTATTACCGTTCTATGATGAGGATATAAAACATTGTAATGCATTTTAGCAATTATTTTTAAATCATTCAAACAAAGCCTCCCACTCAATTCTATTTCTCAACATGTTTTTGTTTTTATCACCTTTCAAGCTGCCCAAGCCTGTGCAAACAGGAAGAAGCAAAAGTGGATGCATACGCAGTCCTAACTGCAAGGCTACAGCTCCATTCCACTGCTATAAACTTCATAATGTAAACCATTTCTACCTTACTGCTGCTAGGATGCACAATATCAAGAGACATTTTAACAATTATTCTTAAAGTATTCTAGCAAAACCACACCAACTCCCCCCAGCCCTGCCAGTAGTGGGGATTGAACCCTAATCAATGCTAACACTAATCAAAAAAAAAATGAAGTTGTTATATTCATTTCTGACAAAGCTGACTCCAGAGCAAGGAAATTTATCAGGGATAAAGAGGAGCATTACATACTGAGGAAGGGGCCAACGCTCCAAGAAAATATAACAATCCTTCATGTGTTTGTGCCTGACAATGGAGCGTCAGAATACAGGAGGCAATCCTGATAGGTTTGAATCTGAGGTTCGATCCTCAGCACCACATACAAACAAAGATGTTGTGTCCACCTAAAAAAACTAAAAAAAAAAATATTAAAAAAACATTCTCTCTCTCTTTCTCTCTCACTCTCTCTTAAAAAGAAAAAAAAGAACTGCAGGAGAAACTGACAAAGCCATTATTACAGTTGGAGACTTCAACAGCCCCTGATCAGAAAAGGACAAATGGAACAGGCAGAAAGTCACTAGGGACACAGTGGAACTGAACAGCAGCAGCAAGTCACCTGGATTTGATGGACATTTATAGAACACTTGCTCTAACAATAGAATGCACGTCCTTCCCAAGCTCACATGGGACATTCATCAAGACAGAACACACCCAGGGCCATAAAACACTTAAAAAACTTAGTAGCGTATCCCTTCGTTACTGTGTTACACCAAATAACACCATTAATCTGAAAAGAATCTCACTAGTCATGGAAAACAAAGCAGAACTCACCTTATTAAATTAATTAATTAACGTACTGAGGAACCAGACCCAGGGGCTCTCTACCTCTGAACTACATCCCCAGCCCTATTTATTTATTTATTGAGACTGGGTCTTGCAAAACTGCTGAGGCTGGCTTTAAACTTGTGATCCCACACTCTACAGAATTCATTTTTTTAAAAAGCACAAAATCAGACAATTTCCTGTAAAATTATGTTCTTGCTTTTTGAAAAAATCAGAGTTTACAAATCCAAAGAAATAGTAACATATTCAGTTGAAATTTTTTTCCCAGAACAAAAAGTGGTGCCCATTTCTGATATGTGAGGCTGATCTCTTTGCTTGTGTTGCTTTCCTTCCTGTGCACAATGGGAAACATTCAGATGCTAAAGGATTAATTTCTCCATTATGGGCTGAATCCCAGCCCTCTCTGTTTCTCCTGTCTTCTGTGTTATCCACACGCTTCCCCATTCCCATGGATTATCTCCCTCAGCACAAACACATCTATCTGTTAGCTGTTATGTTAAGGTTGTTCGATTTAACAAATAAAAAAATACAGATTCCTAGGTAAGTTTGAATTTTATACTGGGCATTAAACCCAGGAATGTTTTACCACTGAGCTAAGTCACCAGCCCTTTTTCAATTTTTTTTTTGAGGCAGGATCTCCTTAAGTTGCTGAGGCTACATTTTAACTTGTGACCCTCTAGCCTCAGCCTTCTGAGTTGCTAGGATTACAGATGTGCGCCACCACGCCCAGCTCCAGGTTTGTTTGTTTTTTTAAGAAGACCAAAATTTACTAAAATTTTGGTGCTGGTATCTCTGGTGGTAGAGTTATACTGGGTTTTATTTCCTGATTTGATTTTTATTTACTGATTTGAATTTTGACCAGAAAAGCAGAATAAGGTGAAGTTCAATAGGCTAGTTAGTGTGTGATGCTCTGATTTAAATTTGGTTGTGTCTTTACAAATTTAACTTTACTTCTAATTTGTGAATCAAATCTGTCTCCCCAAGAAGCCAGAACGAACAACATCTAAGATTTAAACACACACAAGATCTTGGACCAAGTGTGTCCGAGTCAAGCTGCCATGCTTCTCTCTCTCTCTCTCACAGCTTTAGGAAGATCCAAACCTTGTGTGATCTCATCTGGATTCTGCTAAAAATAGAACCCCCTACAGCTCTTCAAAAACAGCCACAGTGCAGACCACTGTTGGACAGCAAGACCAATGCTCACTTGCACTGAACTGCAAGACCCCCATTAGTTCCTAAGACCCTTCTCCCCACTTTTTTTCTTTTAAAGGTTTTGTTGTTGTTGTTGTTGTTTTGGTTTTTTTTTTTTTTTAATATTTTAGTTATAGATGGACAGAATAGTTTTTATTTATTTATTTATTTTTATGTGATGCTGAGGTTAAACCCAGGACCTCACACATGCTAGGCAAATGCTCTATCCAGCCCCTCTTCTCCCCACTTTTAAAAAACACTTTGCAGAAACAATTTCTTTAAAAACATCTCAGAATTTTAAAATACCAAATGAAAGAAAACCACTGGTTTAAAGCCAGGCATGGTGGTACATGCCTATAATCCCGGCAATTCGGGAGGCTGAGGCAGGGAGATCTCCAGTTCAAGGGTAGCCTGGGCAACTTAGTGAGACGGTCTCAAAATAAAAGGGGCTGGTGATGCAGCTCAGTGGTAGAGCATTCTGGGTTCAATTAAAAAGGAAGGGAGGGAGGAAAGGAGGAAAAGAGGGAGGAGAGGCATACTACCACACCAGAGAGCCCAAATCCAAACACTTACACTTAAGTGTATTGTTAAGATGCTGAAGGACCCATCTGTGACCAGGCTCTCTAAAAGAATGTCACAATATGCTTCAGATTTTACCCTTCTGTAATGCTATACTTTGGCGCCAATACAACAAATAAACTTAACTACACAACTGTGGTTTTCCTAGACTTGTGGCTGTAATTTTTCCAGGCTTAACACTAGGGATATCAAACATACACCCCCCCCCCCATTTATTCCAGAATGGGCAGAAGGGGGCAGGAAGGCGGGGGCGGGAGGCCTGGCGAGGAAGAAAGTTACTGCATAAACAGGGCACTGTCCAGCCACAAGGCTCCATTAGTCTAGTGATCTGACTCAGGCACTGGACCAAAGGACCTCTTGCTGTTTTCTTTTTACCTTAAGCTGTGCTTGGCAGGTACAAAGTGGAAGAGGAAAGAGCAGGACAAGAAATGCCAATTGTTTGGGGATGGGGATGTGGCTCAAGCGGTAGCGCGCTCGCCTGGCATGCGTGCGGCCCGGGTTCGATCCTCAGCACCACATACAAACAAAGATGTTGTGTCCGCCGAGAACTAAAAAATAAATATTAAAAAAAAAATTTAAAAAAAAAAGAAATGCCAATTGTGGTTCAAGTTCATATTCCTCCCAACTCAGAGTACGGGCTGTGGGCATGGGACCAGCCTGAACTTTCTTCTGAGCTTCAGCTTCTTCTAGTAGCTTCTTGCTCTTCCCTCACTTTGAATATGTTTACATTCAGAACACGTGAGATATCCGAGGGTAATAAGTTCTAGAGTTTTAATCTAAAGCTATATTTATTAAAGCATAAAGATACATGAATGACAACTGTTATTTCTTCAGCTAGGCCTATAAAACATTGCATCATGTGACCATTATATACCAATGCATTTTCTTAATTCCCTCACTGTCTTCAAAGATTTATTTTTGGTTTTGTCAAATTTGCTTAAACTTCCATCACATCCTATTGTTAGTTTTTCTTAAGCTCTTTTAACATCTCAAACATTCTTTAAGGTCTTTCTCATATTGCTTTATTTGCTCTAATTTTTTTCTGGTTCAATTTTCCTTTGGGTCGATCCCATGAGGGCTTATCTTATGCAAGACTCAAAACTGTTCATTGTGGTTTCAGTGATAGCAGGAGCTGTGTATTCTGAGAGGTGCCAGACATTCCGGCTGTGGACAAGACCATATTATCCTGCAGCAGCCACATGGGATTTAGCCGGGACACATCAGTAAGAGAGAGAGAGAGAGAGAGAGAGAGAGAGAGAGAGAGAGAGTGCGCACGCATGCAAATGCACACTAAAGACCAAACACAGGGCTTTGTGATGCTGGGGGTCAAACTGAGGGCCCCTTGTATGCTAAGCACACACTATACCACTGAGCTACGACCACCCAAACTGTTTTTATATTTTAAAATCACTTTAGGTTTGGAGAAAAGCTGCAAAAGTTATGACAGAGTTTCTGTAACACCTCCATAGTTTCCTCTAATATTAAAGTCTTAATAACCATAAACAGAACAAAACCAGTAAAATTCCCTTTCTTCAACTGTTTAAACTATAGACGTCCTTGGATCTCCCTAGGGCGCCCCCTCTGCTGGTGCCACTGTCCCAGGATCCTGTCCAGGGTTCCACAGTTCATTTCATTGCTGTGTTCTCCTGCGAGCTGAGTTCCTTCTGCTTTTCTAAGTTGCCAAGGGTTCTCATTTTCTCAGGTTTCATCAACAACTCCAGGTTTACCCTATTACCTTTTGAGACTGCACGGACTTTAACCTTCTCCTTTCTTTCTAAATCTTTTAATTCCAAAATAAATCAGCTCTTAGCAGATGCATCATTTCCATCACTGGGTAACAGGAAAACAGCACAGAGAGTAGAAAGGCGTGGCACTGGCAACGTGAGTGGAAACCGATCTGGCAAACTCCATGATGAATGGAATACGTTCAACTTAATTCCTTGGAAAACAAAGGCAGCACTTGGTGTTCTCACCAGGGACACGGAATTAGAGAAACAACAGGTCATCTCACCCAATTTTTCATGTTTTACAAATGAGAAAACTATCATGTTGCAAAGGAAATAAACAGAAAATATCACTTTGACACCGATTCATAGCATTTATTGACATTTCCATTTAAAATGCTAGGAAAGCTGTAAAAATTGTAAACATGGAAACCAAACACTTGCATAAATTATTTCAAAAAATCTACAGCACATTAGAAAAACAGTGCAGCTAATTGAAGGGTAGAAACATAACCGACAAATAGAAGGGAGGGTTCAGTTACTAAATCATATACCCATACTGAGATTTAAGTGCCCGTTTGAGACCAGCAAACTATGATTGTCAAGTTCAAGTTGCAGTATTGATGCCACCGATGGCCCCAATTTTCTCTGCACAGTTTCATACATTAATATTCATGATCTAGGAAAGAGGGTGCAGGAAGAATCAGAACAGACCTTCACCGAGGAGGAGACAAGTGGGCACCCCAGAGCAACTCTACGGGGTGACCCCTTCTGTTAATTCTAGCCTAAGCTCCAGGTCCCCAGGTGAAGCTCCAGAGGAGGGCCGAGTGGAGAGCATTCCTACCCCGACCCTCTTTTCTGAACTGATTTCCTGGAACTTAGAGCAACTTAGAGCTAAGGCGTAAGCCACAGTTCCCCTAATACCCCCCTCCTCTTTCCCCACATTTGCCAGAGGAGCAGAACACGTGTCTGGCATGAACTTGTCCCTGTACCATTCCCAACCTGCACACTTTGGAGTCAAGTTGTGAACACTTGAAATCTGGTGGACACAAGAAAAGTGCATCCATGATGCTCCAAGTAGTCCGGGAAGGTGGTTCTGGGCCATCAAGGACAGTGAGATTAGAAGCGTTCCCTCCCTTCTCAGTCCCTGCTACCTTTTAAACAGAAAGAGGTGCCAGAGCAGAAAAACCCGGAGTCAGATGGCAAAGCAAGGAGCCTGGACCATTATCTACCCTGTGGGACCTTGAATTGAACTAAAGTGTTCCAGAGACACTTGTTTCCAAAGACACTATTTTTACCCTATAATTCAATGCTACTGTGTCCCCCACCCCTCATGGGGATTTACCCAGGAGTGTTCTATCACTGAGATACATCCCCAGCCTTTTTATTCTCTTTCTTTATTTTTGAGACAGGGTCTCACTGAGTTGCTGAGGCTGCCCTCAAACTTGTGATCCTCTGGCCTCAGCTTCCCAAGTCACTGGAATTACAGGCGCGCATCACGGCTCTGCTATACATTCCTGAGATAAATGATCAAGTGTGCTGTCACACACACAGCATGGAATGAGTGCCGTACCGTGTCACCATCATTCTTCAAGTTTTCTCAACAGTGGACAAAGGAGTTCTAGTTCAAACATCAACAATTCCCTCCAAAAATATCAAAAGAAACCTGAAACGTGGGCCCTCCTTGCTCATTAGGTGACAAGTGTGAAGTCTATACATTTTGTGAGAATGTCACAGCAGTGGCTCATAGAAACCCCTCTCGCCAGTTACAAAAAATTCTGCAGCATGTTGGATTACATGTGAAAACAAAGTTCAACGGACTGACCCACAGGAATGTGTTTGTGCTCATGCGGACTCTCTGTGGGCACCAAGGCAGATGTCCTTGTGCTCCTGCCTGGTGACCAGCTTTGGAGCCTTGCTCTGGAGGTAGAAATGACATGGTAAGAACTCCATGAGAGAACTCAAGTTAGCATGGGACTCTAGACCAGGAGTGCCTCTGCCCCAAGCCCAGAACCTAACCAGCTGTCCTTCCAAGCGTCAAATTCATTCATGTCTAAGACTCAGGATGCGAGGGCCAAGAGAGGGGTGCTTAATGATTAACTCATGGGGTGCCGCCCATGCAGACAGCCTCTGGGGACTGGTTTGGTTACTGGAGTGATCTCGAAGACATCGCGCTAATGCAGTCAACATTTACCCTGAACATGAGAGACGGGAGACTCAGAGGGCGCAGTTACTCATTTCAGCCCAACTCCTCCCCAGTAGACCTTCCCCTGTGCCCTGCACCACAGGTCTCATGCCCTGGAAAATCTGGTTAGCAACAACCCACTCCTTAAAAACCATGTGCCACCAAAATCAACACACACTCTGGCATTAAATAAAATTTGAGGAAAACGTGTAGCTATAAAAAAGGCAAATACATTTATTTAAAACCTGCTGTGCCCCACAAAGGATTAATGTTACTGAATGGCTAGCCATCACGATCTGCTTGGAATCATTCTTATCACTATTTGCACACTTTACATTGGATCTTTAGCAGTTCTTGATATACTCCACTTCCTCCCCCCAACTGGAGATCTTCATCAGTAAATCTCCATTGGTTTGGTCATTTGTTCAAATGTATCCTCCAGCACCATTTCCTCCTCTTTTGAATCACCCTAAAGAGTGTGGTTTGCCATACTGCAGCTGATCAGGATCAAGTTCATTTTTGACGCCGGCATACACTAATTTCTTTATCCCTCCCCACTCGGGGCTCAGCCCATACATCTCACCCTTGGTTGGACAATTCCACTGTCTTCATCAAAGTGGGTTCTGCAGATGATCTCTCCCCAAGATCTTATTGCTTCCAAATATGCAACTTCTATGACTTCAAGTACCCAAAGCACTTGTATACTCTGAATTTTATGGATCTTTAATCCATGTTATTTTTTTTCCCCTCTTCCATCTTTTATACCCATCTGTACTATCTGACTTAGATTCTAAGATTTCAGAAGACCGGGCTCCATGGCTGCTGACCTATTTGGTACTGGAAACAGCAGAAAGTCAGTAGCAGAAAGATGATTAATAGATGCCCTTTGAAAGTTGGTGGGAGCGGGGAGGGGGGGGTGAGTTTAAAACAAAACAAGAGTGAGGAACACGAGTCACACTGGGTTTCCAGTTTTGTCTCTGGATACATACACGTGAACACACCCACTGGCAGATCATGGCAGGTCACATCATCCATCCTAGGGCATTCACACAGGTAACAGTTTACATTTTCACAGTGCTTTATGCTTCCTCCTCAAGGGATGCCTGCACACAGGAACACATCATTTTCTTACAATTTGAGATCCTGGGAGGAGGGCAGGGGAGGCGTGTTCTTGTGGATTAAGAGGAAAATGAAATTCAGAGAAGGAACCTGACACAGGGAGTTAGTTATAAAGTAGACTGCAAAAAAAATCACTTCTCTAACAATCTCCTCTAAAATGCTGACTCCAATTTATAGTTTGTTACAACTAGAATTTCTAAAACAGGAAAAAATTACAGACATAAAATTTAAATTTTAGGGTACTCCAATAAATGGAACTCCAAAGTTATGCATGATCAACAGAAGGACTTTTTTTTTTTTAAGTAGAAAAACACTAACCCAGTGTCTGAAGACCCACTGGGCGTGGTGCACCCCACAAGAGCCAGTACAGTGAACTTGGTGCCTGGTAAACTACTGCAGCAGGTGTTTAGAGGAAACAAGTGCAGACCAAGGGCGCTTCCCAACAATGACCCAGTGCTGGCAGCCCGCAGGACCCATCCATGCCACGCCACACACCACCAGCTCTTCGTTACATATCATCTTTGGTCTTGACTTCTGTTCAAAGGTGTATTGGTTCTAAGAATACAGGCAGAATCCCCTTGTGGTAGTTGAAAGGCATCCATTCTGCTCTTGCAGTCACACCCTTGAAACAGAGACCTGTTTTTGCAACGCACAGAGGAGGTAACCATTTTTAGGACACATTATATGTAAAACACTTATGACACCAAGCAGAACCGAGAGAAAAGGTCATTTATTCCACCTGCTGTCACAAGATTTGAACTTACTATAAAGTGTCTACCATAAAACTCTGCTTGGGTATCTAAGTCTGGATATTCTGAGTGGCATGAAAAGAGGATCCATTTTAGGGACAGTCTGGTATTAAGCCAGGACCAAGAGGTTAAGAAATCAAGCCCAGAAAGGGGCCTTCTCTTCTACACTATTGGGAGCCTTTGGGGACTGTCTGACAAGAGGCTGCCAGTCCTGTATTGGGTCGACTTACTGTTATGGTTTGGATATGAGGTGTTCCCTGAAAAGCTCATGTGTTAGGCAATGCAGGAATGTTCTGAGGTGGAATGATTAGATAGATCATGAGCTGTAACCTCATCAGTGGGTTAATCCATTTGATGGATTAATACTTTGAGTTTGGCAATACTGCAGATTGAACACGGGGATTCTACCACTGAGCTACATCCCCAGCCCTTTTTATTTTGAGACAAGTTCTCATTAAGTTGCCCAGACTGGCCTTGAACTAAGGATCTTCCTGCCTCAGCCTTCCAAGTAGCTAGGATTACAGGTGTGCACCTCCAAACTCAGCATGAATTAATAACTGACGGGACTACTAGTTGGTAACTGTAGGCAAGTGGGGTGTGGCTGGAGGAAATAGGCGCTGGGAACATGCCCTTGAGGATTATATTCTGTCCCTGGCTCCTTGCTCTCTGCTTCCTGCCTGCCATGAGCTGAGAAGCCTCCCTTCACCACACCCATCCATCATGATGTTCTGCATCATCTTGGGCCCAGAGCAATGAAGTCAGATGGCCGTGGACTGAAACTGATGACCCCAAATAAACTTTTCCTCCAAATTGTTCTCATCAGATGTTTTAGTCACAGGAACAAAAACCTGACTCACGTACCTACCTTCCTGCACCCTAGTCTTTCAGTGGCAGGCAGGTGAACAATGGCTACACTTGAACTCCGCAGAACTGGCTTTCCCTGTGTCCCCAAACTCTAACTCCGTACCACAAGCTTAACCAAGGATGGAGTACAGCATGATTATGGAACCAATGACTGTACTCTGGAAGCTTGTTCTAGCTGTTTCCAGGTTCTTAAAACTTGGTGCAGGTACACAGGTTTTGATTAAAGCACAGCCCCAAATTCTACCTTGTTATCTTTTGTTTAATCAAAAGTATTAATTCATCTGATAAAAAGAGGCTCAGAGTGGGAATCTCGTCTCTAAGCCTGCATTTCCTCTGAGTTTCACTCAGGCACCAGAAAACAGAACAAGTCACTCCCTTTCTGACTCTAATGTGGGACATGGGGAAACTTCAGGAGCATGTTCTAAGAGAGATGACCCCCTCTCTCTGGCCCACAGTGCATGAGACAGTTTTAATAGTCACTCAACGAAGTAATAACACAATAAAATCAGAAATGAGGGGAAACTCTCTCCTTTCCCTTGTGGTCTCAAAACTCTTCTTGACTCTTCAGGGTCTGAATTGGACTCTGTTCCACTTCCAGGTCTTGAACACAGGGAACGGATTACTAGGGATGGATTCACAATAATTTGGTGGTCCTAGAAATTGTTTTCAATAATGTCTGCTTACAGAAGACTTCTCATTCAAACATAATTTGTGAGCAGATCATGAGCAACGTGCAAGGATCTACCAGTTAGGACTTCCTGAAAGCCTCATTCTGTAGGACTGGCCTCCATGGCATGTGCTGGAATGGGATGCCATCAGGAGTTGCACCTGCCCAATTACTAAACAGCAAATACAATTAAGAAGGTAAATCTAAATTTTGATATGTATTTTGAATAACCAAATAAATATTAAGCTTTCTCCCACCACTTGGGAGTTGCTTTTCTTTTCTTTTTTTTTTTTTTCCCTCTAGAACAGAATGAAACCTTCGACCCATTCTTCCATTGCAAAGCCAACGTTGCATTTCACAGACACAAAGGCGAAGGGGCCCTTGGGGCTGTAGCACCAGAAAAAAGGAGGAAGAACGCAGGCGATGGCTTCGTTTGGAGTCTTCAGGCTCTTAAACTATCATTTGGTTTCTCACTAGTAGCTTTTAAAAAAAAAAAAATCTCCCAACAGTCTTAGTACTCTTTGTTGTTAATATTCCTATTAAAATAAGTTCCTATGGAGAAAAGAGGGAAATCAAGCTGTTAATAAAATGTCTTCAAATCTCTTCTTAGAAAACAAAGCAGCAGGTACATCGTACATGTCAGTCTGAATCCCTTGGAATCGCTGGGTTCCTTCCAACCCGACACCATCTACACATTTTCATCTTTTGCCTTTAAAAAGGAGACTTAAACAAAATTGTTAGCTTAGGTTTCTGTTTTGTTTTTGTGAAGTGCTGCTGGCTTTTGGCCAAAAGTACATACATTTCAACTGAACCCAAGTGGCCACCAAATTGCCAATCTAGGAAAAGTATCATGGGTGTTGTGTGACTTATGGCATCTTCTAAAATTGCCACTTGCTCCCTCACTCAGGCAGCTCGCCCAGGAGATGCTCATTCCGCTTACAAACATCCGCTCAGTTGATTTCCTTTTGGTCTTGCTTCCACGGGAAGCGGATACTTGGCCAACCTGCGGGCGAGGCCCATCAGCTGTGGAAGTTCTGCACGGTGCTCTGTTTCTGGGAGAGCCGGAGGAGCTCCTCGCGGATCGCTTTGATGAGGGAGGCTGAGGAGTGGCTGGGCTGGAGGTCTTCCGTGGAGCTGGTGGGGTAACCCAGCCCAGGGCCTTGCAGTCCCCGGTGAGGAAGGTTCCCGGGAGGAGCTGAGGGCTCCCTGCCTGAAGTCCTTGGCACCTGAAACAGCGGTGAAGAAGAATAATCTTGATGTCCAAGAACGTGAGGCTGAAAAACATGGCAAACGTTACTGCACTTCCCACACGGCAACCAAAGGGAACATCAAGTTCAAGTTGGCATTGGGAAAGCTCATGGGCTCCCTCGCCCACCTCCCAGGGTCACTCGGCCCTCCAGCAGGGCCCTTGTGGCCTGATCGCCTGTGCACAGGGTGTGGAGTGAGTGGGTGAAGCGGGTGTTGGTGTGGAACTCGCCACCACAGGACAACAGGCAGGGACCTGGGGAGCTGGAAAGGGAGAGCAGGCAAGCACCCCATGAAGGTGAGAGGTCAGAGGGCAACACTCAAGAGCAGAGGGAGGTAAGACTGGGGCAAAGGGGATGGAAAGAACCACTGCCTTAGCCTGGTCCGGAGTCCCAAGAGTATGTACCTGAGAACTCAGGCGGGACCACGGAGCCTGGGCCAGATCACAAGATTATCTTGTGTCTTATCAATCTGTGGTCTTGTTGTAGTGCTGAGGTTCAAACCCAAGGCATGGGGCATGCTAGGCAAGCCGCTGAGCTGTGTCGCCTGCCTATCTATCAGCAATCATCTACCAATCTCTCCATCCATCATCTATCTTCAGGTACTGGGTATTGAACCCAGGAGTGCCACTGAGCTATTTCCTAAGCCCTTCTCATTTTTTATTTTGAGATAGGGTTTAGGTCACCAAGACCAGCCTGCAATTTGTGATCCTACTGCCTCAGTCTCCTGAGTGGCTAGTATTACAGGTGTGTGGCCCCAAGGCCCAGTGTCTTTCCATGTCTTTTCAAGTGCAATTTAAAGTTAAGTTATACACACAAAAGTAGACAATTGTCCTGCTGATGTCTGCAGAACATGGATTAATTTGGCATTCATTTGACAAGAACAATTATGCTTTTCAGTGATTTTTTTTTTCATTTTTAAAATATCCTTCATAATTTTTTCAAGTGGAAGAAAAAACTTCACATCCATGCACTAAATTAGTGTATAGGTCAGTGTGGTATATCTGTGTACTAAAAACCTTAATGCTAAAAGCGAGAGAAATGTGGCCTCCTAGTCCTGAATTATTTCTTTCTACATTTCACTCCTCCATAGAGCAATAAAGAAATCCTTCAAAGTGAACATTATTGGATTTGACTAGAAAACCTGAATCTCAGTAGAATACAATGAAGGCAGAAGAAAAAAAAATGTGTCGATAACTTTAAGCAAAGACCTGCAATTGTAAGTCTGACAAATGTCTTTTGGGGAAAAACAAACTCTAATGTGAATTTACTTTCACTACATAAAGCATCTAACCATGACTGGGATCTAGCATAGCTGTTAGGAAGGTTAAGAAATTCAATAAAAGCCAGAGCATAAAGATAAGGATAAAACCTAAAGTGATAGTTTGGCTTGTATTTTCAAACTTCATTAATTTATCCCTCGAGGATATAAAATTCTTGAGAAAAACAGACAAGGGCACTTGTAGAAATTAGCTGTTCCCACACTGAGGGAGGTCTATGCCTTGAGACCCTGCTACCTCTGAGATCACTCCAAGACCATCTAGCACAGGGGGCATGGTGGAAATAACATCAGCAAGCCCCACAAAGCATATGGTGAGATCAGGGATGTTCATATAGTGATCATACCAAGACCATGTCCAGATTTTAGCTACCTTCAGGTTCAGACTTGCTACTTAAAGCCATGGAAATTTGCCTCAAGAAAGTACGTATGCTTTCCAAAAGTGAGAGAGAGTTTGCTACAAGCTACAGGCAAACACACAGCAAGGTGAAAACAGGGAGGGAGATTAAAAATGGATTGCCCAAGAAGCAGCAGCTAAATTTAAAGATTGCGTGAGAATTTTAACTGATGGCCCAAGTCCCGGATACTCACGGCCTCCCTTCGCCCTGCTTCCTCCTCCCCATATGCAGACCAGCCCGGTCCTCCATACTGGCCACCTCTGCTGGGCGGGATTTCCACGGGCTGGGCCCCGATTCTGCTAGCAATGCCCACCTGCGTCAGGTGCTGGATCTGGGAGCCTGGGAGGAACATGGTGCAGTCGCTGGTCAGCATTTATAGGAGAGGAAGGTTATGGAGTAAGATACCGTCCGCTCTGACCACTGGCCCCTTTAAGGACAGGGACGATGAGCAATGTTCAAACAGTGCCAGTGCCATCTCCAGAAATGGCCTGTCCCACGAGAACAGCCCAGGAACTGCTCTAATTCCCTTTCAATACAGGGGCTAATGGTGACACATCAAAGGTCTGAGGATGAAGGATCACAGAGGGCACTTCTGCTCTTGTCTGTAGGGTGACACCCAGGGTGGCCCTGCTGATTTTTTAATTATGCTAACTCAAAGGTTCTAGAGCCATAAAGAAGTTGACACCTGGTTCTTGTTGCTTATAGCTTTGAGATTCACAAAGAGCAGAATATCCAATATGCCTTTTTTTTCCCCTGTTATTGGGGATTGAACCCAGAGGTACTTAACCACTAAGTCATATCCCAGCCCTTTTAATTATGAGACAGGGTTTCACTACATTGTTTAGGGCCTATGCTTTTTTTTTTTTTTTTTTTTGGTACCAGGGATTGAACCCAGGGGACTAAACCACTGAGCCACTTCCCCAGCCCTTTTTATTCTTTGAGACAGGGCCTCTCTAAGTTTCTGAGGCTGGCTTTGAACTTGCGCTCCTCCTGCCTCAGCAGTGTGCCACTGAGCCCAGCTGCTTTTTTCTTAAAAGGCGGAAATGTGTTTGAATTCAGAATGTTGAGGCCCTTTTACTCACAGTGTTCCCATAACTCAGCCATAGCACAAGCAACACCTCACACCTCACCTAGCCAGTGAGGGACACTGAGGTAGACCAGCTGACTCTGTGGCACTAACTCCCAGACACAGGAAACCTGTAGCCTTGTGTGGCTCGGATGGTCAGGTGTTAAATAACCTATTTCCTCGGACACCAAGTTTTGGTATTTGGAAATATCCCTATACTGCAAATTAAAGGAGGAAAAAAGCCATCTTTATTTATTTCATCTTATTTAACTTCACTTTTTATAGCATTTAGAATGGAACCCAGGGCCTCGCGAATGCTAGGCACGTGCTCTAGTGAACTACACTCCTGGTCCTAGAATATGATCTTTATGTGCTGTGAAATGAAATACTTATTTCCAAATGCTCCCAGGATCATCAAGTTCATCCATGATGCTCAGGTTCTAAGAGTTCAAGAGGGGAAAGTCCCTCCATCTGTAAGCCCACTCCTACCCATGTTATCTAGTTATCAGACCTTAACTCATCAGCTGCTCACGTTATCTAGTTATCAGACCTTAACTCATCAGCTGCTTTTAAGAAAAGAGCTCCCGCTGGTTTTATCTGGATACATATATTGGTAATTGAAAGTCAGGGAAAATTGTCCAGGCCTCTGGCGGAGCAATGAACTCCACTGGAGCACCCATCCTTTACCGAGAACTCACAGCGTATTGACATTATCTGGACTATCAGCACTGTCTACTTAGCAGGCACTGCCTGAGCAAATCTCGTGAGGAGCTGTGAATCTAGCCGGGTGTTCACAGTGGTTTCCAAAGGTCCAAACAAGTGCGCAGGGGGAAAGCACACAGTGGCTGCCATCTTAATCCAGACATGATTCTGCTCCCTGCTTTGATCACTCAACAACACAGCACAGGCTCTCCCCTGACTCTGCGTGGAGCTCAGAGTCTGGGCTGATTCCAGCTCAGCCTCTGACAAGCCCGCTCCTGTGGGCCTGGCTTTCCAACATCTCCAATGCTGTGAAAAACCCAATCAGATTTATTTCAAGGATTGGAAGATATGAAAAGAACAAATGTGGGCAAGGCAACAACTGGTGATTCCTAAATTCCTCTTTTCTTTTTTATTTTTTTGGAAACAGGCTGGTCTCAAGAGATCCTCTGGCTTCAGTCTCCTGAGTATTGGGACTATGGGACCTGCACCTTGGCTAGCACTTCTTTTCTGGCTTTTTATATTTTCATCTTAAATAGCTGTGCAGTTTACTCAGTGATGCACTTACTGGGAATCCTAAAAGTGAATACTTTTTTTGCTGTTCTGAATAATGCTGTGATAAACATCTTGACACACATAATTTCCACCCAATGTTTTGAATTTAGGGGATTTCCTTTCACTTTCTAGAAGTGAAAACACCAAATCAAAGATTCATGAGTCCTATTATCAAACTGCTTTCCAAATGTTTTAATGATTTACACCACCACTGAAATAACATAATAGTAATAATAATAAAGGCAGCTAGTATTTATTGAAAATGTATGATATGCTAAGCACTATTTGGGGCACTTTACATCTTTTATTTTATTTAATCAGCAAAATTCTATCATAAAACCATCTTTAAAAAATGATTCATGATTGTAGTTATGCCTCATTGTGGTTTTAATTTGTATTTCTTAAGCTATTTTCAAAACTGGAACCTTTTCCAAGTTTTTCCTTTATAGGGTACACATATACACACACATGCATCTTTTTCTATTTTTCTGTATGTGTGTGTGTGTGTGTGTGTTACTAGAATTGAATCCAAGACCTCATGCATGCTAGGCAAATGCTCTACTACTGAGCTATGACTTCAACCCTTTTTATTTGAGGCAGGGTCTTGCTAAGTTGCCCAGGCTGCCCTTGAACTTGCAATCTTCCTGCCTCAACCCAAGGAGCTGGGATTATAGGTATACACCACTACATGTGGTCTATACACATCTTTAATTTTTTTTTGTATACTTATAGATGGACAACATGCCTTTATTTTATTTATTTATGTGGTACTGAGGATTGAACCCAGTGCCTCACACATGCTAGGCAAGGGCTCTGCCACTGAGCTACAGCCCAGCCCCCACACAGCTTTCTCTTATGAATTCTTTCTTTCAATATTTTGCCTATTCATCTTTTGAGGCTTGCCCATTTGTCAATTTATAGGAGCTATCCTCTATAATAAAAATGACTTTTGGTTATAATATACCTCAAACTTTCCCTAGGTAGTATTTCATTTTTGGTTATGTTCAGAAATATACATGTTTGATAATTTTTATAGCCAGAAAGATAATTATACTAGATCCCAACATTTTCCATTGTAAATTTTAATACAATTTCTTCTCTTACTAGAAATTGTTAGAATAAAACTCCCTCTTCAAATGAGTGACACATAGAATTTCTATATCCATCTAGATTTTTAATAAACAATAAATCTGAATTTTGTTTAGTATTTATACTGTGCAGCAAGGCTCACATACGCAACATTTCACAAGAGAAATAAGACTCATCACAAAGCCTAGCATAAAGGATGAGAAGTCCCAATACTTTTTTTTTTCTTTTCTTTTTTTTGTGGTGCTGGAAATTGAACCTAAGCATGCTCTACCACTGAACTATATACCCTTTTATTTCTTATTTTGAGATAAGGTTACCAAAGCCAGCCTCAAGCTTATGATCTTCCTGCCTCAATCTCCTGAGTCACTGAGATGAGAGGCATAGACCACTGTGCCCAGCCATTATTTGTTTTGAGGACTAGCAGATAATGCAAGATATAAAAACATCCTGGAAGACTAAAATGGAAAGACATCTCGCAATTATTGCGAATTTGGAATTGGCCTAAACTACTTTCTTTTTTTTTTTAATCTTTATTTTGTTTATTGATTTTTATGTGGTGCTGAGGATTGAACCCAGTGCCTCACACGTGCTAGGCAAGCACTCTGCTACTGAGCCACAATCCAGCCCCCTAAACTACTTCCTTTATAACATAGAATGATATATGTTCAGAAAATAAGAAATAAATTATTTAACACATCATGGTTCCCTCTCATTGAAGCCTCAGTCTTCCAAAAGGAGGCTGAAGAAATGAATGGAAAAAATAAAAGCGTGACTTTGAGGTTTTGTAATAGAACACAGTAAGATGATATTGAACTTAAAAAAATCTCGAAGAATAGAGAGCTGTTACGTACCCCATTTGAATCAAATGTATGATATGTCAAGATCATTGTAATGTTTTGAGCAACTAATAAAAAAATTTTAAAAAAGTAATAGGGAGAGCTCAGATCTTATACTACAGATGTTCTAGAACACAGAACAGCATTCATAAATAGAGCTTATACAGTATCAACCACTCAGAAGTTCAAGTTCTATTAAATGGAATGGTCATTTGTCATTTGGGGACAAGTCTGGACCACAGGTAAACTGATGGGGCAACCCTTCCAACTGCCATGAAGAAATTCCACTCAGCCATGTTGGACACAGACCACCACCAGCATGTGCCTCCTAGGGGTCTGAAGTGTTTTCTCAGGTGTTCCACTTATACTTCTATTGGACCAGTTAGGGACATTGATCATAAAGTAGAGCTGTCATTGAAAATTGGGGGATTTACAAAGAGTTCAGAACAAATTCTTCCCAAATATCAAGCATCTGCTGAACCTGAGGATGGGATCTGGGTTTGAAAATTAACATAAAACTCCAAGGAGGCTCTGAGACAAATGTTTTTTTTTTGTATTTTCTTCTTAACTTACTTTCTGAAAATAAATTTGTTCCTTATCTAACTGTGATTATTGAGATCTCAATTCAGAAATCATTTTTCATTCCTTTCTTTCTTTACTAAAATTCAGAAAGCTCCTCCTTTCTGAAAACATTTACATATGTCTCAAAACAGATAAAACCCAAGAGCAGTTGGCCTATTAAAATACAGATGCTTATAATTCTTTCTAAAAAAGCAAAAATGAATACATAAAAGGAAATTTAATCACATTTCAATTGTGGTCTTTAAAAAAAATCTGTACTAAGTAAACCATATTGTGCAAAATGCTTCTCAAATCAATTAAATAAATATATTTTAGAAGGTTTTACAATTTATTTTCTCTCTGGCTTCAAAATCTCCAGAAATTGAAGACTTTAGCATATATTTGTTTAAGAACAGAAGTTGGAAACTTAACTTCCTATGTGGAGATATCCTGGCATAGATTTTTATTTTAATTTCATTGGGTAGTTAAAACAGATGCTGTTTTCAGGGATTTAAATTGTAATAATGGTAGAATAAGAAAACATGACTTCCACCACTGAATGATGGTAGAAGTGGTGCTGGTTACCCAGGAACGGCATTAGGAGAACTCTCTAAATGAGGACTTAAAGAGGGGCAGACAGGCGTCCACACAGTGCCAGGGTGGCTCCGTCTTCCACAGGTGCTCTATCATTGACTCTGCTCTTGTCTGAGACAGTTGAGGGAGGGCTTAGTCAAAGGGTCACAAAAGTGACAATAAGAAAAGGGAAGGAGATAACAGGGTTTGCATTCTAATCTGAAATCCAAAATGCTCCAAAGTCCAAAACGTTGACATGACATTCAAGCAGTTTCCGATTTGGGAGCATTTTGGATTGGGGATTTTCTGACCAAGGATACTCAACTAGTAAAGTCTATTAAATTATTAAAACACACGCAAGAGCACACACACAGAAACACTTCTGGTCCGAAGTATTTTGGATAAGGGATACTCAACCTGTACTTAAAAAGGCAGAAGGGAAAAGCCGAGGGCAGGGACTTGAGGAGAAAACAAAGGTTGCATGCTCTCCAAAAGTGACCCAATAAAACGAAATCTCCCTCTAGCCACTGTCCAGCAACTCTGAGGGTTGTTCACTACAAGGCACAAATGCCCCTTCTTTTAAACTCAGTTTGATGCCGTCCTAGGGCTGCCACAGACCTCCCGTTCACTGGAGAATTTAGCCATGCCTTCCTGGAGGGTGTGTGCCGCAGTTTCACTGTGACTTGGCTGATTCAGGAATCGGCAGACAGCAGCCTTGGGGGGCTCTGCCACAGCCCTTCCCCTCCCCTGTCCTCATCTCTACCAGAACCTGAGAGAAAGGAGCTCTGGCCAGAGAAGAGATTGCTCAACACCAAGACGCTGACCCTCTGGGAAGCCTAGCTATGGCCTTTAAATTTATTCCTAAAGTAATTCCCCCAGAAATGTAAGCTCAATCGCCACATTACCTGTGGTGCTCCCAACAGGCCGGGGCCGGGCCACCGATGGCATCTCTTCTGAATAGATCCCTCGGGCAGCAAATGGAGCTTCTGCTGACGACTGTGGCTGCTGGGGCTCAGGGGGTGCCAGCTCTGAAGATGGCAGCAACCCAGGGCCAAAACCCGGTCTGAAGGCAAAGCATAGGCATCAGGACTATGTTTCCCCTGTGCTGGCCTCTACCTAGTCGGTCCCACCCTGCAGAAAATGCAGACTTCTCTGTCTACTTGCTTATCCTCCTCCAGCTCCTGGAAGGTGGGAGACGGAAACCGCTCCCTAAGGTGGATTTTATTATTCCATGGCCCTATCTCAGTACTAAGCTGATGTTCACCAGTTTATGCTGAGTGATTGGATATATATAGTTCTTCTATTTAAAGAAAAAGAAGGGAAGCTTTAGTTTCCAGATCAAAGAAAGGCACAGATTTCCAATAAAGCTGTGGTCCTCAGCCATGGCTGCCCATCAGCATCACTGGGGGAGACGAAATCCTGGTGCCCACGCTGCACCCCAGACATGGTGTAACCAAGACAAGGGCTTTGAAAACACTCCACAGGTGTGTCTATCGAGGGCAAAAACCCATGTTCTAAGGCAATTTGGTCTATTTTGTTCTCCAGATGTCTTTAAACTCATAAAAAGTATTGAGGAACTCCCAAGAGTTTCTGTTTATATGATTACATCTACCCACACTGATGGTATTATTAGAAATTAAAACTAAGAAAATGTTTCAATATTTTAAAAACTCATTTACAAAAACTACAAACCTATCACATGCTAGCATAACAATGTTATGAATTTAGTTACATTCTCCAATCCCTCCCCCTCAGATTAGTGAAAAGAGTAGCACTCTTATTTTATTCAGACTCTCTTAACATGGGACATATGGATTCTCAAATATTTTACAATCGGTTGACACATGTTATTTTAGAAAGAAAATCTGCCCTTGCAAAACATTTCTTAGAAGAGTATTTTAATAGCCTTTTTTAGAAAGTACTTAAATAATACTTCAGATATTCTTCTTGAGACCACACCAAAACTTAAGTGGTACTTCCTTAAGGATTAGTTGCAATGCAGGATCTGAAACAATATCAGATGGCTCTATCTTGACTTTGAGTGGATCTTCAACCCATGCATCTACCATTGGGAGAATACTAGTTCACTGAATCACAAAGACATGATGGACACTCACATGCCTAATTCTACAGTATCAAAAATTCCCCTGCTTCACTGGAACCACCACGCTCATCCAGAAGAGTGCTAGGATGCTCTCAAGTTCAACATGGCAGACAAAAGGTTCTAGTCTAATTTTCACTTGAAAGCTCAATTTTACCATTGACAAAAAGACTGTCAGTTGTTTTTCTTGAAGTAAGAAGTTCATTTCATTCATGTTCAACACAGTGATAAACTCCCAAGTCTGAACCTGATGTTCATCAGTTGTTTAAATAGAAAGCGAGGAGGCAGTTGGTTCCATTCAGTCACAAACAGCAGAGCAGGTGCTCTCCTCCAAGATCCCATATTCAGCACAAGGGCCTTATTTGTCCAGTCAGTACCTCCACTTTTGTCACACAGACTATGAAAGACTCAAGGGCCTAGTTTGAATAAAATTAATTTTTACTACTTCATCAAGAACATACTAACATAAAACTGGCTTTAAAAAAAAAACTGCATTTTATCTGCAGCTACCGAAATGAGATTTTTCTCCTTAGTTCCATTTAAAGCAATGTGTTACATTGCTTGATTTTTTTAAAAATGCTAATCACCTTCACATTGCTGGAATAACTCCAATTTGGCTGTAAATGATATTCTTCTGTACGTGTTGCTGGATGTGTTTGCAAGTATTTGGTTTCATATTCTTTCATGTCTATATTCAAGAGCGAAACTGGCCCTTAACGTTTTCAGTCTTGCAATGACCTTGTTCTTATGTCCTTGTCCTTGAGGTCCAATGACCCTGGTCTCATTAAGTGATTTGAGGGTAGTCTTTCTTTTTCTACTTTTTATTAGCTTGTACAACATTGGCCTTTCCCTCCATCATGTTTGGCAGAGTTCACTGTTGCAGCCATCTGGACCTGGAGTTTCCTTTATGGGAAGAATTTTAATTATGATTTCCATTTTTAATAATTATATGATGATTCAGATTTCCTCTTTCTAGAAATTTTTCCATTTCAAATTTATTAACAAAAATGTGTTTGTAAAATCTTTTAAGATTATGTTAATTTGTCTTTTTCATTCCTATTGATGATTTGTTACACAGATTACTTTATCAAGTTTGCCAGGAGATTTGTTTTCTATTTTACAGTCTATATTATTTCCTTCCTTCAATTGGATATTCTTTTTTAACTTCTTGAGATGGGTAGTTAGATTGTTGATTTCCAGCTATTTTTTCCTTCCAAATACATGTGTTAAGGATAACAATTCCCTCCCCCAAACATTACCATAGCTGATCCTACAACTTTTGATATATCCTACTTTACTATTCATTTTAGAATATTTTAAATTTTCTATTGTGATTTATAAGTGTATTATATGTTATTTAGCAGAGTACTGAATAATTTTTAAATGTACATGGGTTTTCTAATTATCTTTTATTATCATTTCTTAATTTTACTAGGATGAACAAATGTATTTTTATTTAATTTTTTTTTAATTTAAGATTGGTTATGGCCCAAGATATAGTAAATTTTTCATTATTTTTGTGTGTATGTTGTACTGAGGATTGAATGCAGGACCATACATGTTAGGCAAGTGCTATGCCACTGAGCTATATGTCTCCCAGCTCTTAAAAAAAATGTGTTTTAAAGAGGTATGCTGGGCATGGAGGCACATGCCTATAATCCTGGCTACTCAGAAATCTAAGGCAGGAGGATCACAAGTTTGAGGCCAGCCTCAGCAATTAAACAAAGCCTTGTTTCAAAACAAAATACAAAAGTCCAGGGATATAGCTCAGAGGTAGAATGTGGGAGGCCAAGAATGTGGGAGGCCCTGGGTTCAATCCCCAATACTACCCACCCCTAAAAAAATGGTGTGTTGTGCAGTATTGAACATTCCATGTTTTATGTATATCAATTAGCTCAAACTGATTAATCATGTTCAAATCTTCTATATCCTTTCCATATCTTTATATTTTTGACATGTCTTTCATAAGTCAAATACCCCTTTTTAAAATCCAATATAATGATATTGGTCTTTTAATTAGAATATATAGCCATTATCATTTAGTGAAACCACACACACACACACACACACACCCTTGAATTTAGATCTCCACCATCTTATTTTGGCTTAAGCATTTTTCACACTGTTTCAGTTAACCTAAAAATTACACCAGAATCCTTGACTTACAATAGTCTAACACAAAGTAGTACTTTTATATATCTTCCCAGACAATAAAACTGAACTCCATATTAAGCATATTAAGTATAATTGTAAAATGTATGTTTGACAGCTCCAATATCTGGATCCCCTGTGGTTCTGCTTTTGTCTGTTGCTCCTGATTTTATTTTCAACTGTGTTTTCTTTTCTTCTCATATGCCTGGTTGTGTGCGTGTACTGGGTGACATGTACTGTAGAAACAGTATAAGGCCTGGAGTGTATTAACCATTCTGAGGGGGGGGACTCACATGTGTTCTGCCAGAGAGAAATCCCTCATTAAAATTCAAAGCTGAACGTCAATCTCTGAAGGGACCAATCTGCCTATGACCCACCCTTTCTCCCAGGGCCTAAGGATTAGAACTCAAAACCTTGGGTGTTTATCAAGGTCTCTCCTCCTCCCCCCAAGCCCTGTACGCAGTCTCTTAGAGCTTCATCCACTTTCTCAGCATCTCAGCTGCCTCTTCTGGAGTCAGCAGATGCCACTGGGAGAAAAGTGACCCCAAAGAAGGGCTCACTTCTCTGGGTTCCCAGATCTTGGTCCCACACTGCTGCACAGCTCTGTTAGCCCCTGGAGTTTAAAAAACAATTAATATCTTATCTAGCTTTTCCAGGTGTTCCCAGCAGAAGGACCAGTTCAAACTCTCTAGCCCGTCATTACTGGAAGCAGAACTTAAGTCCTAACTTTCCCCCCTCCTCTTCTGGTTAGATCAAGGGAAGATATAAATCACTTTTACATCTCTGCTCATATTAGTTAAAAGACATGGGTTTACAGAGTTTAAAAAGAGCAGCCTACAAAACAAAGTCATAATACATTCTGTTCTGAAACCTTACCTTGGCAATGGGCCAGAAGGGGGAGTCATCCCATAGTCTTCATATCTCTGGAAGAAATTCAAAAGGACATGAAGACTAACATTCAGTACTTATTATAAAGTGACAACAGCAAACTTATAAACTTGGGCTTGCAGGATCAACTTTCGGGAGAATTATTTTCTCATTAAAGCTTAGCATGCTCCTGGGGCATTCTGCCATCCAGCAAGGGTTTCAGTTTGGGGAACAGGGCTACCAGGCTTTAGAGAAGACACAACTCATTTCTAGGTCTTTTCTATATCAAAAACTAAGACTGTGAACAATAGACAGGTTTTCTGTGCCTGTTCACCCCTAGTCTCCTTCTCTATGAACTTTATCTTCTGCTAGAAGGTAGCTTAACTGGTCGCAGTTAGTATGAAGCACACGCTCCCCGCCCCCAAATCCAGGGAGCGACCAGCAGCAATTCAAATATCTCCAAAACTAAACCATCAAATGCTGTACCATGTTTAGAATACTGTAAAAATAGAAAACCAGAAATTAGAAGGAAACCCAAAATTAGAGACTAGAAGATGAAGGTGGCCCCTTTGTTTCTGACCATTTCCTGGGCCACTGTGAACAACTGCTTGCCTGTAATCAGGAACTACCAGGCCTGGCTCCTGGGGCTGCACTGATTCTAGATCTTTCTTTTTTAGGCTATAATTTTAGTTTTTCTCAAAAGTCCAGGCTTTTCCCCCACTACGCTGTGCTGCCCAGATTTTCCCAACGGGTCTTTCCCCATTGGACAAATCTCTCCTCTTAAGAGGGAAAATAGAGGCCTTGGTGTTCAGAAGGTCGTACGACACAAGGATGTCTGTGATGGTTCTGGAGGGATTTGTAGATGGGAAACCGTGGTGGAACTGTGTCCCCTTCTGATCTTCTCTGACTCAATCCCCTTGGCAGCAGGAAGGAGATTAGAACCTTGTAGGTTCCCAGCTGAGGAAGATAAACTAGAGGGGGTAACAGAGAAAACGGAAAGATGGCAGAAGAGCAGTTTTGATTCCTTTTTCTGAATGACTGAAGAAAAAGCTGAGACTGGATGAAGATTAGCCATGGTGCCCACCCACCTCCAGCATGGCTCAGAGTTTTAAGACACATTCATATGCATGTTTTTTTGTTTTTTTTAAATCAAGGCTCATCACTTTACCTATCAGGATTTCAGGAGATCTGAGTGATAAACCAACAGAAAAACTATGGGGAAAAAGCTGCCCATTTTTATCCATGGTACTATTGTGGGTGAGGCATTTTAACCTACTGTCTTCAGAAAGAGGATGTTCTGTGCTGAGAGACAGGGCAAGTTAAAAAAAAAAAAAATCCCTGACAGAATTACTGTGATTGTGTGTCAGGTATTTACTTTAAATGAGTCACACTTATATAAAAGGCTTGGAGGACAAAACTGAATTTTAAAGTTTTAATCAGCTATGTCAATACAAGTCTCATTTTCATTTCATTCTTAATCCATATAAAACACAGCCCAGTCAAATGTGAAAGGCGAGTCAAATGGCTGGAGCCTGGGACAGGCCTGAGGTGGAGCCACCAGGCAGCAGAGGCAGCTTGTAAAAGGCCTTAGCTGGCACCGAGGCCTGCACAGCAGGTGACTCCAAGAGTGGAGCTCCACTCAGGGCAGCAGGAACACCACATCCCAGCTGCCTGACTCACTGCTGCCTAACCCACACCGCCCTGCTGGTAAAAAGGAGCAGAATGTCATCCAGGGGAACACAGAGGCTCACGCGGTGACTGAAGGCACCTTGAAACCCACATTCCTGTGGTTTTCACTGTCAGAAGAAGCAAATAAAGGGTGGTTAGGTTCGTCCTGGCAACAAACTAGTAACTTTACCACCAGTTTATCAACATGCTGAAATTTATATGATTCTGGTTTTCCACTAGATTAAATCAATACCATTCCCATTGAAAAAATATCAGGGTGACGTCAAAAAGTCCACAATTAATTTTTTTAAAAAGTCCACAATTAGAAATATTAGAATGCATTTGAATTCATGGTTGAGATGGTAGATTAAGGCATTATCATGGAATCTTTCATCCCTAACACCTAAGAACCAGGAACAAATAATAAAAGTAGTAACACAAATCTGTCAAAAATTACTGCTAAAAATTCGTGCAAGTGAAGGAGAAGAATCATGCTATAAATGGAGAAAAGCAGCGGCCAAGGGAAAAAAATGATTCTCACAGCACAGTGTGGCTCTTGACCCCACCCAAGAGCAAGCAGAGATGCACCTCCACTCAGACAGGGGCTGACTGGGGGGCGACCTGGCAGTCTGGAGCTGGGAGCAGTAGGATCAAGGAAAAGCCTGGGGGCAAGGAGAGGTGGTCAGCAGTGACCAAGCTCAGGTCAGAAAGTGAGACAAGAGCTTTCGTCTTGGAAATCTCAAGACTAAGCAAACAGGCTCTTGGCAGATCTTCCTCCTCATCCTAGGTCCCCTCCTCATCCCACGAATGTCTCTGAGGTGTAAGTCCTGCAGCAGCTTGGCCTTCTCAACACCCCAAAACTATATTTCACTTGTCACCTGCAGGTGGAGCTGTCTGGGCACCTTCCAGACAGAGGATGGGAAAGGATCAGGATGATCCTGAGGACGGTGGTGCCCACTAGTGGACAGATTGGAGAGGAAGCACGGCAGGCTCTGTGTGCTCCCAGGGCCGTTCTCTCTCTGTCCTTGTTAGTAGGAGGGCTATCACATTTCAACTGCATCTCTCACCGCACAGCGCCTGCCAGGTGTCCCCTTGTCACAGTCCCCTGATAGACCCTTAATTCTGGATCAACCCCACTGTCTGCCTTCTCGGCCGCACACCTGGGTGTCCGATGTTGAACCACAAAGCCATATGGAGAACTCTCACTTATGCCACTATAATTTCCTGAGGGTCAACCTCAACAGGGACCTCAGGCTGTGTCTCCAATCTGTGATCTCTCATTCTCCACAACACGCATTTCGGATCCCGACTCTCCCCCAAAACCACCATGCCCGCCACATTTCTTCCCTCCTTCTCAACAGACAGCTCTACCCTCCCCACGGGGAGCACAGAAGCCTTGAGATGTGGCTCCTCAGCTTCATGCCTCCCAACCTCTCCTTCCTGCCTCCGTTGAGTTGGTAGAAATACATCCCGTCGTTTCTAAACACAGTTCCTCCCCTGATGCCCTCAACCCATGGCATCAATCTTCTTCCATGCTGGCTCAATGCAGCCAGCAATTAAACAGGTGGAACCTTCTGGATTCTTCTTTTCAACTCCATCCACACCAGTCTACTGGCTGGAGCCACTGACAATCACACTGACAATCCCTGCTCCACCAGCCTCCCAACGGTCCCCCTGCCTCTACTCTTGTACTGACATAACCCTGCAGCCCAACGTGGGACAAATCTCCCACAGTGGCTTACATAGTTACGTCTCCCAACTGCTCAGAGCCCTGCAACGTGAAGGTGTCACCCTTGGGATGAGGTGGGCACTATGACTGTGGGCTTCTTGCTTTCTCTCTCCTGCCTCATGAACCACCCCTTCACTACCCCTTCTGTAAGAAATGCTAGAACCAATTCCATTGTTAAGAACATATGGTGACTGGGCTACAGGGTGCCCAGATACCTGGTTAAACACTATTTCTGTGTTTACTGGGTGGAGCTGGTTAAACACTATTTCTGTGTTTACTAAAACTGACGGCCTCAGTAGAACAAAAAGGGGGAGGAAGGTGGGGTGGTGCTCCCTCTGCCTCCTGATCCTGCTCTTGGAGATCCTGGTTTGCAGGCTTTCAGATTCAGACTCAGGCCTCAGAACACCCCTGGTTCTCCTGGTCCTCCAGCCTGCAGACAGCAGGCTTCTCAGCCTCCACAATCAAGTGAGCCAATTCCTCATAATCAGTCACTCTTTTTATTTTTTTTTTTTTATATTGGGGATGGAACCCAAGGTCTTAACCACTGAGCCACATCCCCAGCCCTTTTTTATATTCTATGTAGAGATTGGGTGTCACTGAGTTGCTCTGGCTTTGAACTCATGATCCTCCTGCCTTAGCCTCCTGAGCTTCCAGGATTACAGGTGTGCATCACTGTGCCCGGCTATAATCAATAAATCTTAAATCTCTCTCTCCACACACACGTCATAGGCTCTGTTTCTCTGGAGAATCCTAGCTAATATACATATCAAGCACACTTGGGGGAAGAAGTTTTTAACACCTTTATTGAGTTGTAACTGACATACAATAAACTGAACATATTTAAAGAATGCACTTCTATAATCTTTGATGTATGACTGCAACTGTACATTACCACCACAATCAAGATAATGAACATATCCCTCACCCCCAAAGTTTCTGGGTGCCCCCTTTATAATCCTTCCAACTGATGTCCCCACCTGACCCATCCCTGGGCAACCACTGATTGTTTCTGTCACAGATTTGTATGCATTTTTTAAACTTGTATTTCAATGGAATTGTATAGTATATATTCATTTTCTTTGGTCTGGCTTCCTCTACTTAGCATAATTATTTATGAGAGTCAATTATGTTTTTGTCTGATTCAATATTTATTTTTTAAGGGTGGTTCTGGGGATTGAACTCAGGGACACTCAACCACTGAGCCACATCCCCAGGGTCTGACTGAGTTGCTAAGCACCTCGCCGTTGCTGAGGCTGGCTTTGAATTCAAGACCTCCTGACTCAGGCTCCCGGGCTGCTGGGATTACAGGCTTGAGCCACCATTCGTGGCTAATAGTTCATTTTTATTACTGAGTAGTACTCCATTATATGGACATACCACATTTGTTTTTCCATTTCTATATCTTCTTTGATGAAGTTTTTTTATTAGGCTGTCTGTACAATTTGAATCTTTTCTATTTATTGAGATTAGCTTTGTGGCCCAGAATATATTCCATTTTGGTAAAAATTCCATGATTGAAAGAACGTATATTGTGCTCTTGTTACCTGCCCTGTTCTCTATATGTCAATTATTTCAAGTTCGTGGTGTTATTCAATTCACCTCTATCTTAGTGATTTTCTGTATACTTGTCCTACCAGTTATTGAAAGAGGAGTATTGGAAATCTCCAATTTTAACTGTGGATTTATATTTATGTGTAATTCTATCTGTTTTTGCTTCATGCAAATAAACATTTAATATTTTGTCTTCATTTTTTTGTTTGTTTGTTTAATGGTACCAGGGATTGAATCCAGAGGCACTTAAACACTGAGCCCCAGCCCTGTTTTGTTGTTGTTGTCTTTCTTATTTAGAGACAGAGTCTCACTAAGTTGCTGAGGCTGGCTTTGAATTTTCAATCCTCCTGCCTCAGCCTCACAAGCTGCTGGGATTATAGGTGTTTGTCACTGTGTCTGGCTGAGATTTTTTCTTCTTGATGAAAAGTGACCACCTTGTTATTATGAAATGGTCCTCTATGCTGGATAATATTCTTTACTACAAGATCTCTTTTGGCTGATAGTAATAAATCCACTCCAACTTTTCATGATTAGTGTGGCATACCTTTTCCATACTTTCAACCAAGTTTGTACCTCTGTATTTAATGTGGGTGTCTCGTCGCCAAGCAATTGTTTGGATCTTGCTTTTTATCCACTCTGACAATCTCTGCCCTTTCAGAGGGATGTTCAGACCACCTATGTTTAATGTGACTATTAATAAGGCTGGACTGAAACCAACCTTGCTGGTTTCTGTTTTCTCTTTTCGCCACCTGTTTTTTGTTCCTTTTTTCTTCTTCTTCTGCCTTCCAGGGACTATATTTTATGATTTCTTTTAACTCGTTTGTTGGCTAACAATAGGTTGTGGTAGGGTGCGTACTACACATCCTCTGTCCCTGTCCACTGGTCAGTGCTTTAGTCTATGTCACATACAGCATAAGGCCATTAAAAGAGCAAACATCAATCTCTCCCTATTGGCCTTTGTGCTATTTTTATATATTTTCCTTCTATATAGGTTACAAACCCCACAATATATTGTCATTACTTTTGTTTTAAAGAGTCAATTGTCTTTTTAGTATCTTTAAATAATGAAGTTTTTATGAAAATAATTAACCACATATTAACATTCCCAGAGCTTTTCATTCATTTGCATTTTATTCATTCAAATATTCACCTGGCATCACTGTGCTTCTTCTACCTGAAGGACTTCCTGGAATATTTTGTACAAGGCAGGTGATACGTTCTTTCTAAACACACAGAAGAGGGACTGTGGGGTCACACTGTGGTTCTGGTTTTAATTTGTTTAGGATCCGCCATCTTGTTTTCCATAATGGCTGTATTGATCTTTATTCCCACCAACGGTGCACTAGGATTCCCTTTCTCAACACTGTCATCAACATTAACATGAGGTGAGATCTCATGATGACTTTAATTTTAATTTGCATTTTCTTGATGATTTTTGAGGTTGAACACCTTTTCATATACCTGCTATTGATTTTTATGTCTTCTTTGGAGAAATTAAGTTTGTCTGAGAAATTAAATTCAATTGGTTTTTTGCTATCGAGCTATTAAGAGTTCTTCGTAAATTTTGGATACTAACCCCTTCCCTATCAGATATGTGATTTTTACATACCTTTTCCTAGTCTGTAGATTAACTTTTCATTTTGTTGACTGCTTTCCTGTTTAGGAGCTTTTTAGTTTGATATAATCCCCTTTATTTATTTTGCTTTTGTATCCTGATTTTTTCAATGTGATATTAAAAAAAAAAAAAAAGTCATTGCCAAGGTCAACATCAAGGAGCTTTTCTCCATGTTCTCTTCTAAGATTTTTATGGTTTAAGTTTTATATTTTAAGTATTTTATCCATTTTTCAGTTGATTTTTGTGTATGGTATAATATAAGGATCCAATTTCTTTCTTCTGCATTTGGAAATTCAATTTTCTCAGCATCATTTATCGAGGAGACTATCCTTTCCCCCACTGTGTCCTGGTGCCCTTACTGAAAATCAATTGACCACATGTGTAAGGATTTATCTGGGCTTTCTGTTCTATTCCATTGATTTGTGTTTCTATCTTCATACCAGTATCATACTGCTTGGGTTACTGTAGTTTTGTAATATAACTTTAAAACAGGAGTGTGATGACTCCAGTCTTTTCTTTCTCAGTATTGGATTGGCCATTATTTCCTTAATAAATTTTTTGTCCCTCCTGCTCTCTGAGAACTCCAAATATCATGTGTATTCATCCACTTGAAGCTACTGCACAGCTCATTAATCATGTTTGTGTTTTTCATTCCATTTCCTCTCTTTGTTTGACAGTATATAATTTTTATTACCATATATTCCAAGTCCACTAATCTTTTCTTCTGCAATACCTAACCTGGCATTGATCTCACCCCGTATATTCTTCCCCTCAGATACTGGAGTTTTCATCTCTAAGTTTGATTCATATCCTTTAATATCTTCAAGGTCTCTAATTAACATCCTTGATCTTTCCTCTAGCTTCTTAAATAGATGAAACTACATTAAAATAATCCTTTAAATACCCTTGTTTGCTGTTTTTATCACCTATGTCTTTTTCTTGTTTCTGTGCTTATCTAGTTAGTTTTGATTGGATACCAGACATTATTAATTTTACCTTATTAGATGCTGCATATTTTTGTTTCTATAAATACTCTTGAGCTTTGTTTGGATTCAGATTTTACGTTTGTCTGCTTTGTTCAGTAGAACTAGAGTGGCTTTAATCTGGGGCTAACTTTTCCCACTCATGAAGCAGAGAAAAACAATACAAAGGTGTGGACACCACAACTATGAGGTATCTCAATCTAAATTGCTCCCATACCCCTTTAGAATATATGGAGTTGTTAAGTAGAAGAGCAATTACATAGGGTGTACTCCATAAGCCTCACTGTATACAAAACAACTGCCTGACCTACTAGAAGGACCCCACTCTTGTGAGATCTTCAGAGAAAGTGGAATCATGTCCTACAGGCACCTCTGTGAACTCTAGCTGCCTTTTCCTCCCTGGACTTCCAATCCATCTCCTCAGCTCAGGCAGATCCCTGAGCTCTGCCTGGTACCCCTCCCTGTGTGGTGGCCAAAAACCCTCCCTAGGCACAAGCTGGAGCAACAGTAGGACTCAACTTGCTTCTTGGCAATCCTTGTCCTTTGTTGTCTACTATCCAGTGTCACAAAATCCCACATATTTCATTCAGTTTTTTAGTTGTTTCAGTAAGGAAGACATCCAGGACCTGTTCTTCCATCTTTTCCAGAATAGGAAGTTTATCCCATATGCCTTTATTTCTGTGTGTCTCTGCCATACTTCTCACTATGTGAAAATTTATTCTCTGACAACCACTAATTATCCTTTAGACAGCAACTCACATGTCATTTTATCCAGAAAAGTCTTCCTAAACTCCTCAAAATTCAGCTAGGTTCTCTTCCACATTGCCTCCTCTCCATGGCACTGACAACAGTGTACTGGAATTATTGTTTTGGTCCCCACTGGAGTGCAAGAGCTAGAGAGGAGGGACCTGTGCTGTACACCACGGAGTCCCCAACACCTAGCAGGGCTCCAGGCACAGAGGTGCTCTGTAATGCACCTGAATGAAAATGCAAATGAGACCAGACAGCAACTGTACCCACACTTGTTTTATCACTGAGTTGTGGTCTGTATCATCCATTTCCTAAAAGATTATAACCCACCAGATATAACCTTGAAGTAGTTTAACATCTATTATTAGAACAAGCTATATTTTCATATTAAAAACAAAAACAATTACATTGAATGGTACCCTCCCCCTGCCCACGGTACCAGCTACCCACAATGCAAGCACTGTGTCTCCCAGACCTGGAAGGAAAAAAATCTATTACCAAAGGCCTGAAAATTCAAACCAATTTCAGAGATAAAATTTTTTTTTTACTGTCATTCAATGATAAGGGAAACATCACACCTGAATAAGGGAAACAAAACTAGAAGGAGCCAGGGCTGGGGCTGGGGCTCAGTGGCAGAGCACTTGCATAGCACATGTGAGGCACTGAGTTCCATCCTCAGCACCACATGAAAAAATAAACAAATAAAACAAAGGCCTGCTATCCATCTACAGCTAAAAAAAAAAAAAAAATTAGAAGAACCCAGTATAACCTTTCCCAACTAATAAATTTAAGTTGTGGTCTATTAATTTCTCTCCAGAGTTAATGTCACCAATCCTCAGTCAAATCATTTCTTTTGAACTAAGCAAAAATTACATGAACATTACTTCCTTGAGTGTTACTCTTTCTCCAAGTCGTAAGAAGGCAAATTTGAAAGAACCAACCAAAAACGAGAAACATACATGAAGGCCAATGAAAAGGCAGAGGAAATGCTAAAACGTCAGCTCCCAAGATGGGCAGATGACATTTGTGAACAGTGCCCATGCCTGGACCGCTGCCTATGCTCCCAGACCCTCAGGGGGCCTCTCCAGAGGGTCATACAGAGGTTAAACAATCTGAGTCCATTCCAAACTGCTCCAGTCTAAACTGGAGACACAAGTGCCACTATGTTTTGACAGTTAAACTACCTCCATTTCATAACACAGAGAGAGAACCAGGAAGATGCTTCCGCGAAATCCTCTGAACAGCTCCACAAAATATCAGAGCAGCATAAAAGAACGCTTCTAATATTAAGAATTAACTTAGCAGAAGATGATAAAAACTAAGACTTATCATCCAAGATTGAATTATTATCAAATACAACCAGAGTTTTATGGGGAACCTGCAAGAGATGCAGTTAGGCAACAAAACTCCATTATCTTGCCCAGGAAAGAATTCTAGAAGGTCAGAACTTACACTGCAGGGATTGTTGGCTGTCTGGGCTGGGCTGTAGAAGGACCCCCACTGGGTGGCTCGCCTTTCCTCGCGGGAAGGGGTGCTGTTCACAGGCAGGCTGGCTGGGACCCCGGACATTGCACCTGCTGCACCGGCAGCCTGGCTGCTGGGGGCCACCAGGGCAAAGGCGTCGTCCAGGAGGGAGTGCATGGTCTGGCGTGCCTCCTCGATGGATGGCTGGGGTGGGATGTACTGAGAGGCCGGGGTGAAGGGCAGGCCCGGATACCTGCCCAGCTCAGCTGAGGATGGTGTCTGCACATCTGCTGGGAGATCAGGATCAGACTACAGTGGGGAAATGACAAAGGAAAAAAAAAAAAACACAGACATGAGCTTTTGTGGTGGTCCAAAAACAAAACTACAAGGCCAAAATGGAATTTATCAATTCTCCTGAAATTGAGGAAAAGATTTATCATAAGAAAATGTTTTAAATGACAGCCAAGGAATATGCATTACATTATATGAGGGATGCAGGGTTATATCAGAAAGAAAACAAAAATGTGGGAATATTCAACTCTTTTTTTTTTCAACTAAACTGAACTATCTGAAATGTATTTTAATTCTTGAAAGTATACATTTTTACTGAAAGCCTAAACAGCCAATAAATATGATTCAAAGTATACATTCTCTAAGAGACACCACACCTGTACCACACACAACCTAATAGACTCAAACTTCATTAGTACATTAACATAAAGAACAGGAGAGACAAAAACCCCAAACCAGTGACCAGACCTTCAGTAGGAATAGTTTTGAGGGGCCTCAGATCCCACTCATGGTATCCATTTCTATAGTAGTAGCAGGGAAAAATAATATAATATAATAATACAACAATAATACACCTCACCTACAAGGTATCTCCATCTAAATTGCTCTCATACCCCTTTAGAATATACAGAGTTGTCAAGTCTAGAAGAGCAATTACATAGGCTACATAGGGTGTACTTCATATGCCTTGCTGTATACAAAACAACTGCCTGACTTACTATAAGGACCCCACTCTTGTAAGATCTACAGAGAAGGTGGGATTATCACCCTCCAACACAGTAAACTCTAAATCAATGTACATTAAACATCATCAAAGAACCAGCAGGGAAACCATACTATGAAACACACTTGGACAACAACTCACAACAGATATCCCAGAACACTTTGCCAAGAGAAAGGACCATAAGGACCTGACATAAAAGTAGAGAAATCCATCCCAACAGATACACAAATCTCAACATAGGTATACAAGAAATATGAAAAAAGGTAACATGACACCTAAAATTTGTAATTCAGCAGCAACTGAATCCAAAGATAGAGAAATGGATGAAATAATAGATAAAGGATGATTACAAAATAGATCAATGAATTTCATGAGAACACAGAAAACAACTGGATAATTTAAGGAAATCAATACAGGGTATAAATGGAATTCAAAAAAGAAATAGAGATATTAGAAAAGAACTAAATAAAAGCCTTAGAAATGACAGGCACAGTGAATCAAATGAAAAATTCAGTTGAGAGTCTCTCTACATAATAGACCAAGTAGAAGACACAATATCAGAGCTGGAAAACAAAGTGGTTGGCCTTGAATATTCAAACAATAAAGCAGGAGTAGAAATTTTGATCAGAATATACAAGAATTCTGGGACATTAGGAGACTAAACTTGAGAATCATCAGCATCAAGGAAGGAATAGAAATACAAGTCAATGGCATTGACAAGTATTTTAGTGAAATGATAGCAGAAATTTTTCCAGACCTTGGGAAAGAAAAGAATGTCCATATATGAAAGGTGTTTATAATCCCAAATAGATAAGATCAAAAACATCCTCTCCATTATATGTTATAATTAAAATGCTAGATATACAGAACAAAAATAGAATTTTTAAAGCCTCAAGAAAAAAATGTCAGATTACATTTAGAGATGAACCAATCAAAATAACATCTGATTTCTCAAAACTCTAAAATTGAGAAGGGCATGGAAAGATGTGTTTCAAGCCCTGAAGGAAAATAACTGCCTAGCAAGATTACTATATCCAGCAAAGCTATCATTCGTAACAGAAGGTGAAATAAAAACCTTCGAAGATGAGCAAAAGCTAAAAGAATTCATGACTACTAAGCCAGTATTACAAAAGATACTTAAAGAATTCCTAAACACAAGAGAAGATTTCAAAAATAGCAGAGCTCAGGAAAGGATAAATCTCATTAGAAGACTATTTAAACAAATGAGACTTAGGATTGAATTAAACAATAGAAGTAAAGCAAAATGCCAGGAAATACTAAACAGCTCTCTATAACAACACTGAATATAAATGGTCTTAACTCTAATTAAAAGACACAGACTGGCAAATTGGATTTAAAAACAAGATCCAACAATATGTGTTGCACACAAGAGATATACACCTCTCAGGCAAAGACATTCACAGGTTGAAAGTTAAAGGATAAAAAGTGATATTCCCTGCAAATGGAGCCTGGAGCAAGCAGGAGTATCTACTCTTATATTGGGCAAAGCAGACTTCAGGGTAAAATTAATCAGAAGAGACAAAGATCACTTCATACTGGTAATGGGAACAGTCCAACAAGAAGACATAATGATAGTAAATATTGTGCCCCAAACATCACTGCACCTAATTACATAAAACAAACACTACTTAACATAGGCTCAGATCCCAAAACAATAATATTGAATGATTTCAACACACCTCTCTTACCAATAGTAGGTCATCTGGATATAAAATCAACAAAGACACTTCAGACATAAAAAAATACTATAAATCAAATGGAACGGACTTAACCCACATTTATAGAATGTCATACCCAAAAGCTAAATACACTTTCTTCCCAGCCTCTCATAGAACTTTCTCCAAAATAGACCATATTTTAGGCAACAAATACACACACAAAAATTTATTGACATAATTACTTGTATTTTATCAGATCATAATGGAATGAAATTAAGAATTAAGAGTAAGAAAAACTACATAATCAAATGAAATTAAAAATTAAGAGCAAGAAAAAGTATATAAACACATGGAGACTGAACAATGTATACTTTTGTGGGGTCAGGCAGTACTGGGAATTGAGCCCACAGGCACTCTACCACTGAACTACATCCCTGGCCCTTTTTAGTCTTCATTTTGAGACAGGGTCTCACTAAGTTGCCCGGGTTCACCTAGAACATGTGAATCCTCCTCTCTCAGCCTCTTAAGTAGTTTGGATTTCAGGCATGCTCTACCACACCCAGCTGAACAATACACTTTTGAATGATGAATGGGGGATAGAAAAAAAATCAGAGAAGAAATTTTTAAATTCTTAGAATCAAGTGAAAATGAAGATACGACATATTAGAATCCTAGGGACACTATGAAGGCAGTTCTAAGAGGAGAGTTTATAATTGAGTGTCAACATAAAAAAACTAAAAAGACCCCCACATAAACAGCCTAACGTTGCATATCAAAATCCTAGATAAACAAGAACAAACCAATCCAAAGGCAATAGAAGGAAACAATTAAGAGCAGAGTCTAAATTAATAGTATAGAGAATTTAAAAACAATACAAAGGATCAGTGTAATAAAGAATTGGTCCTTTGAAAAGATAAATACAATTGATGAACTATTAGCCTAACGAACCAAAAGAAGGAGAAAGGCCCAAATTAATAAAATTAGAAATAAAAAAGGAGACATCACCACAGACATCACTGAAATTCATGGGATCTTCATTAGGGGCTATTTTGAAAACTTACACTCCAATAAGTTGAAAAATTGAGAAGAAATGGGATAAACTTCTAAAAACATATGACCTACCCAAATTGAACCAAGAGGATCCCTAATGCAAATGGTCCAGCCAACATCAAGCAATGAGATTGAATCAGTAATAAAAGCCTTGCACCAAAGGAAAGCTCAGAACCAGATGGATTCTCAAATTCTACCAGACCTTTAAAGAAAAACTAATACCAACACTCTTCACCTTATTCCATGAAATAGAAAGGGGATGGGGGGGCACTTCCAAATTTATTCTATGAAGCCAGTATCACTTGAAACCTAAACCACATAAGGACACATCAAGGAAAGAAAATTACATACCAATATCCTTGAAGAACATAGATGCAAAAATCCTTAATATTAGCAAATTACATTCAACAACACATTAAGATTGAATAAAAAGATCAAGTGAGTTCATTTCAGGAATATGAGGATAGGTCAATATATGCAAATCAATAAATGTAATTCACCATGTAAATAGAATCGAGGACAAAAATCATGTAGCGATCTCAATAAATACAGAAAACTCAGCACTACTCAGTACCCATTCATGATAAAATCACAAAAGAAACTGGGAATAGAAAAAAATGATCTCAAAATCATTTACGTTATACACAATAAACCCAAAGTCAACATCATACTTAAAGGGAAAAAAAAATGAAAGAACTTCCTCTGAAATAAGGAACAAGACAAACATGTCCATTTCACCACTCCTATTCAATATAGTACTTTAAATGTTGGCCAGACTAATTAGTCAACAGGAGGAAATAAAAGATATGCCAATAGTAAAGGTAAAAGTCAAATTATCACTGTTTACAGAGGATCATATCTGATCCCATACTTAAACAATACAAAAAGCTCCATAAGAATACTTCTAGAGTTAGTAAACAAATTCAACAAGGTAGAAGGATACAAAATCAACACAGAAAAAAATGGTAGCTTTTTATACAATAACCTGCTGAAAAAGAAATTAGGAAAATAATTCCATTCACAAGAGCCTCAAAAAAAAAAAAAAAAAAAAAGCCCTTGGGAATAAATCTAACCAAGGAGGTGAAAGACCTCTACAATAAAAATTATAGAACACAGAAGAAAACTAAAGAAGACACAAGAAGATGGAAAAACCTCCCTTGTTCATGTAAAAGGATTAAAATGGCCATATTACCAAAAGCAATCTTCAGATTAAATGCAATTTCCATCAAAATACTAAGAGTCTTTAGAGAACCAGAAAAAGCACCCCTAAAATTCATAGGATAGAATAAAAATCTCAGAATAACCAAAGCAATTTTAAGCAAAAAGAGAAATTCTGGAGGCATCACAATACCCAGTTTTAAATCATACTACAGAACTATCACAATAAAACAGCACAGTGCCGTCCTGTAAACAGACATGTAGACCAATGAAACAGAATAGAAGGCACAAAGACAAACCCATAGGATACAGTTATGTGATCTTTCACAAAGAAAGTAAAAACATACATTAGAGAAAACAGAGTCTTTTTAACTAATGGTGCCAGGTAAATGGGATATCCAAATGTA